AGAGAGAGAGAGAGAGAGAGAGAGAGAGAGAGAGAGAGAGAGAGAGATCTTTACCTTGGATCTGTTTCTTTTGCTTACATGTGTACACTTATTTAACTCCCAAAATCAGTTTGTAGGTAAAGTGGGCCATAACAAAAATTACGATCTTCATTATTATCATTATCGTCATGACTATTATGTTTATCACGAAGTGAGTCAAAGAGACGAGCTACGGTGGAAAAGTTTTTGATAGAGAGTCCCGAAGGTAAGTCAGGCAGATTAATTCCAGCAATTGAACGGATCCCCGACCGAAGAAGCAGATCCGGACACTACCGCCACCACGACTAGTATATAGGTATTACCACCACCGACGCCACTAATCGATTACCATGAGGTCGAAACGTACTGATTTACCACCATCGGATGTGGTTTTGGTTGTTCGCCGCTCATTAAATTCAAACAAATACACCAGGTGAGATGCTATTTAATGATTTTTCTCTTTCTAGGTAAGAAATATCTTCCATTTAACCGGCCGAATCTACTTACAGCACGTTTCGACCTCTACAAATCAAGTGATCGCATATAATGCTCGCGGGTAGAATTTGGTTACTTTTTTTTTACGTAGGGCATACCGTATATTATTACCAGATACCGCAACGTACCTCTTTGCATAAGTTTTATCACCGCCATCAAAAATCTTTAAATTTCTTATTAATATTTAATAACGAATTCCTTGAGTTAAATTTTTAAACTATAAGATAAACAATCACAAGACATTCCTCAATAAATCTTTGGCAGTGCAAACGGTAAAAATATACTTTAAATACCATTGGAATAAACTTAATAAGGTACGTTATCATTTTTTCTCCACCGACTGAAACTTGAATATTATTATTTGTGTAAGCCTTTATACCTTATTAAAATGTAAGATAGCAGAAAAAAACTTTGGGTAAAATAAATATTTATTTTGCTTATTAGCTTAAAGTTTTAAAATCTTTAAATCTTAAATATTATACTAATACATGCAATTACTTAAATAAAGTAGTTCAAGTGCACACAAACTTTTAGTAAATATTTTTATTTGAATTATAATTATTAAATTTAAAGATAACAGTAATTATTAGTATATATATATATATATATACATATATATATATATATATATATATATATATACATATGTTTCATAATTATGAAACGTTAGGATTTATCTCTCATTAGCTACAAATTTAAAATAATAATATGAAGCTGATAAAATAAAATAAATATTATTTTACTAGAGGCATTTAAAGCAATTTGATGTTAAAAGTAATAAGCTTACAAAATTATAAAAACGTGTACAGTTTTCGAGTTTATGTCATACAACACAGGTATTATAATGATTTCGTAATTAATAAAATTTATATTGTAAACTGTTAAAAAAAAGTTAATTCTAAGGTTGGTTCCATTGCATAATTATAACAGTTTTGCATCAAAAAGAAACCTGATGAATTTTAATGAAAATTTATTTCTTGGGTTAAACTTTTTAAATTATTTCAAAATAGGTATTTCCACAGTTAATTATAAACATTTTTCCTTTTTTATTGGTTAGATTAAGTTAATTATTACAAGATAAAATGATTTAATGTTATGTAAAACCCAAATCAATAGTCGATTTACCATGGTACAAGCAATAACATTTAATATGACGAATAACGATGATGAGAAATAATTAAGTCGTTATAACTTATAATATTTGTTCGTGAGTAGTACGTTTTAGCTGAAAAAAAAAAAAATAAACTTTGTACAAGTTTAATGTACATATTTTGTTGAGCCTATGTAATCAAAACTTGAAACAAAACCTTAAGTAATTTTAGATAAATTTAGTGTTATAAATACATACATACATACATATATATTATGAACTTTGATAATTTTATTGATTTCAGAGTAGCTTATTCGATGTATGAACTTTCATTATTTTTTTTAAGTTTAAAATTAGAAAAAAATCAACAACAAGGATATGCGAGTTTTGCTGTATGTTTACAAGTTTATACGTATATATAGTTTGAACAATAAACTACACATAAAAACTATAGGTATAATAACCAAACACGAAGTATTTTAACGACGGTGATTGTCACCCGTTGTTATATTATTATTCAACCAAGTGGTATAACGCTTACTCTCAAATACTTTGTACTTAAATGGGAATAAGTAGAATCAACTATGATTTTCTGAAATACAAGAATAATGCTTAAAATGAAATACGGTATCATCCTATACCAAGAAAAGATAATGGCCTACATTTACCATACCTTTACGGTATTTTATCCACCAAAAAGGTATCTAAGAATGGTAACCTTTTTAAATCAATTTTACTTGGCCGACTTATATTTTTCCATCTGATTTAAAATGGAAGTTCTCATTTTCTAAATCTTTGAACGTAAAAAATATTTATTTATTTTTTCCAAAGCTTATAAATATATGTGTATATATTACACAAACACACATGTATACATTATGCGATAAAAAAAAAACTATCCCCACGTGCGGCACGAGGAAAATCATCGAAAACATTTTATTTTAAATCATATTTGTTTTCCACCAGTTTCAATAAGATCAAATACAATTTATTTTTATGAATGAAATAAACAAATTAAAATCATTAAAATTTTGAACTTTTACAAGTACCTATATAATTATTGATTATTTTTTTCGAATAAACCCATGTCTTCAGTTGTGTGTTAATGTATCGGAATCTACAATGGGTTTTCAGAATGTATGTTAACGGTGTCGCTGATGGAAGAAATATACAGATTGCTTTAATTGTTTTTGACCTGTGTTTATACTAATTGACTCAGCTCTTGTTATCTATCTTTTGACAGAGGTGGTCTTACCGTTTTCTCATATGTTTGTTTATGACATATATTGATTAATAGCAGAAGATATGGACAAACCCGAAAAGAGGAGTATTATAAGTTATATTTATATATATATATATATATATATATATATATATATATGTATGTTATATATAGTTATGTTATAATTTATAATATAAATCCATAAAAGCATGGATTAATTTCAGCATAAATTAAAAAAAAAATTTATTTTCAAACGGGATAAAATGGTTGTAGCAAATTTTTATGTTTATCAGTTTGTATGGTTAAATTGTTATAAATTAAAAATATTCTATGTTTAATTTTTATTCTACAAATATCTATAAAGTCTTCTGCAAAACTTTTTAGAGATTTTCATTTTTCTATCAATATCGAAAAAAAAAAAATTATTTTGTTGGTATAACTAACAGATTTCTAACTTTGTTAGAACAAAATGTAAAACTGATTTAGTTTTTATTAAATATTATATTCTCTCAATGAGTTGGCCGAAAAACTTCAAGAAGTGTACAGTAGAGACTCTATTCATTCAATTTTGGTCTCATTGAGAGTCAACCTGCGATCTTCCAGCACAAGCTCCTCAACTTTCCGCACTGTTTCGTCCGATTGTGACTTCCTGCCGCTGCACTCCTCATCGTGGACGCTTAGGCGGCCAGTAGAAAATTCTCTAAATTTTCGAACGTTTTTCACATCCATGTATTTCTCACCATACACTTCTTCCAATTGACGATGAATTTCTGTAGGTGGAATTTTTTTTGCATGCAAAAACTTAATGACTGAACGTAATTCACACCTGGCGGGAGCGACAACAGGTACCTCCATTGAAAACGGCTGCCACGTCAAGACTGAGCATCCGAATGAGCTCCGCCAGATGTCGATTGGCGGAGGGGACGCCTCGTATATTTAAACATTTTGTAATTTGCATTCAAAAGTGCGATTTAAAAGATTCAAATCAAGCAAAATCAAGTATTGAGGAAATAAGAATATATGGTAAATAACAAAAATAAATCACTAAGCTTAAAATCTAATAAATTTAGTAAAATTAATATATTTAAGATACTTTTAAATGTATTAAATGTTTTAGCTTATATGTTTTAAATAATAAAATTTAAAAAGGGCGAGACTCTCAGGTCCGATGAGACACCACGGAAGATAAAATACAGATATGAGTGAATGGCATTGCTTTATTGGTCTTTTTAACTTGAAACCAATGAACCATTGCTCTCGAAAAAACGATTCTAAGCAAAAGAGGTCAAGTGAATTAGTTTATATTTCTGAAGTTGGTTGGTATATTAAAAAGAATCAAATTTCCTAATAAGATAAATTAAACTTTTAATGTTCTAACTTTTGCAAAAAAAAGGCATTTAAAATTTGGGAATATCCGAAAATTTTCAAACACCTATAAATAGCAGAAAATTCATTAATATACTTCGAAACTATGAAATGTCTTTAACAACATGACTAGAATAGTTTAATAAAAATTCATTAAAATATCTCGCTTCGTTTTGTAACGCTTATACATTTACAATGTTCAAATTTTTAAGCATTAAGTACATATAAAAATTGAAAACGATATCAATTTTTTGACTAAAACAAAGTAGCGGATTTTCGTGATTTTTGTTATGTTCTTTTACCCAAATCAAAATTATTATAAATATTTTAGATTTCTTGTTA